CCACAACAGGGACTGCGACTAACAGGTCAGTCAATATATCTTGTTCTTTCGTTATTCACGGAATTCCCGAAGCACTGACTGATAAACGCTTCACTTGCGACAAAAATGGATAAATAGAATTAGATCAAAATAGGAAAAACATGTATCTTCTATTTAACATAAATATTTGCATACAATTATACAGATATTCATTTATGTAAAATTCAACTTTACAGTGTAGGTATTCTGGACACCGTTGTATCCTGCTCACAAATATATTTTTACAATTATTTTCGCGTTAGCTTTCGGAAATTCCTTTTATTTTGCTTAAAGTCGAGTCCCATTGATAAATAACTACAAAATTGCGGATGGACTCAACAGACCCTACAGGGACCAACTGAGTCATAATGATACATTATGATTCTAAGCGATGTTTTGAACGCTTCCTTTTGAATAATGATAGGTATCTCTGCGATGCGTTTATGGTCCGAAATGATGTTTTGAATATTCCACTTGAATCATAATAGATTTCTGCGACCCTCGTTCTACATTGTGTTTATAAAAAGAGAGCGTGGGTTGATGGGAAAATCGTTTAGAATCTTCTAAGGGTATGACAGAACAGTACAAGTTTCGAATTCCGTCACAGTTGTTGCTTATATTCATTCGCAGTTCACAAAGACTGAGAGAGAGGGGGGGGGGGAGAGACCGAGAGAGAGAGAGAGAGAGAGAGAGAGAGAGAGAGAGAGAAAGATAGAGAGGGGGGGAAGGGGGGAGACTTAGAGAGAGAAAGAGAGAGGGAGAGGGGGGGGCCGAGAGAGAGAGAGAGAGAGAGAGAGAGGGAAGGGGGGAGTCCTAGAGAGAAAGAAAGAGAGAGAGAGAAAGAGAGACAGACAGAGAGAGAGAGCTACTTCAATGATAGGATATTGGACTGTCTCGAACCATGATGCACTCTTATTATAATATAGCATAAATCAGATGGCTTCACTTTTTTCAAAAACATTTATGCCTATGTTTTTATTTGGGGGGCAGTCTGGGAAAAGAGTCTTCCATGAAGTTGCTACTCAAATAAACTACTTGTCATATATGAAAAAGTTGATGATAATGATACTAGTAGTAGTTACGGTAATCACAGAATAGATTATTATGATAAATTCAGTGGTGATACTGATAATGGCAATGATGATAAATACATTTATGACAATAATAATAAAGATGAATATAGGATAATAATGATAAATATATAAATAGGAATAAAGATAGATAATGAAAGTAATGACACAGATATTGATATTTATCTTAATGATTATGTTGACAGGATCGTAAAAATAATGTTAAAATACAATAAAGATGGTAATTATGATAATTGCTACCATTATAATGATACAATATCAATAAAAACATGACAGTAATTCTTAATTTGAAAATGATTATCATCAGTTGTAAAGGTGTTTGTATAAGAGAAATATTACTTTCAGTACTGTTAGTAATATTAGTATTCACATTTTACTTCTATAACTGTCATTATTAATATGATAGTTTTTTTTCATTATATCATTGTGAACCTGTATCATTGCTTATATTTCTTAAAGTCATTACAGTGAGGATTATCTTTGTTATTGGCACTAATATCATCATTATAGTTGTTATTGTTATTATTATTGATATTATTATTATTGTTATCATTATTATTACTGTTATTATTATTATTATTATTATTATCATTATTATTATTTTCATTATCTATTGTTGTTACTGTTATTGTTATTATCATTATCATTATTGTTATTTTTATTTCCATTACTATGAGTTCCTAAAGTTCTCTTTCCAACGAACAAACACTTGGACCTCTCCCGCATTACCTGCAACTCTCCCCCCGCCCCCCCCCCCGTCCCCATTACCTGCAAACCCACTCTTTCCCCCTTACCCCTCCCTTCTACCTACATCCCTTCCCCCTTCCCTCCTCCCCCTCCCCCGCCCCATCAGGAGACAATGAGGCCGTGTAGCTGATCGAATCAACGCCCTCAGATCCGTTACGAAGCCTCCTGCAGCAGTCCTGTTTGCGCGAAACCTTCCATAAACCCTTGGCTTTGGCGGCGTCCCCTTGATGTGCTCTCTTATTAAATCAGGGTCGTGTACCCGCGCCTCCTGAGGGGAAGGAAAAAACATTTATTTTCATTCTGGGGCATAATGGGATTTAAGGGGAAATGGAAGGAGATAGGAGGTCTAATGGCTCCTAGCATCTCTGGGACACACGTTCGTATATAGATAGATAAATATATTGGTATAGATATAGATATAGAAGCAGTTGCCGATATAGATATATAAAGAGACAGAGATATACACAAACCCATAGATACTTTTTGTATATGCACATTAATAAATGTGTGGAATTTCTCCCTCTCCTGCCTAGATCTTTATTCCTTTATAATCATTTCAGTGCATAAATTTTCCATTGCAAGTCAGTAAGACTTTTTTGAAAGAAAGGCTTCCTGTTACTTCTTCCTACATTTCCTTTTTGTCGTCATGAAACACTTAGGCTTCGGGTTCGTGCTTGTCTCCTCCTCGAGTGGGGGCAACGACTGCCTGGAGATGAGAGAATAAGAAAAGGAAGAAGAGGAGACAAGGGAAGAGAGAGAGAAAGAAGGGGGATTGGGAGAAAGAGAGAGAGAAAGAAGAGGGATGGGAAGAAAGAGAGAGAGAGAGAGAGAGAGAGAGAGAGAGAGAGAGAGAGAGAGAGAGAGAGAGAGAGAGAGAGAGAGAGAGAGAGAGAGAGAAAAGAGAGGATGGAGAGATGGGAAAAGAGATAGATATCATTTGCAATGATAGCTCAGCTGTATAAGTCTATCACCGCAGATAACATAACTAAACGCGCAAATATCTTAGTTCATTTAATTGCAAACGGAGATAAAACCTGAATCAGTATCAATTTATTTGTTTATTATAAAGTTATCAACTAGAATAAAGTAAGGTCGGAATAAGGAAGCAATGTTTTTGCGATTCGTTAGGAAGGGAAGAGCATACACATAAAGCATCCTTTGGTTAACTTGAATACTAAGCAGCGACTTGTGTGCTCAGTAGATCAGTGGTACAGATGGCCGAGTGCTGCTCTTGTGTTCGGGAGTTCGAGTCTATCTGGTGCTGCGAGGGATTGGGGCCAAGACCTTGAATAGGACTCCGACTATTCCTCGCACACAGGGAGAGATTGCAGGGATAAAATCTGTAGGTCGAGGCGACGCGTCATTCGATGTCAGTTCACGTTTTTAAGATTTACAGCGACTCACAGGTCATCAGTGTTATCAGCTGACGTAAGGTAAAGTGTTACAGTCGATAAAACAGTAGACTCTTTTCCGGCTAAAAGATAATAATTTAAGGCGCCAACGTGTGGTCCTGACGTGCATCAGCCTGCCTTTTTTTCTGTGTCTAATGCAGATTTTATTAGTCTTTTTGTTCATATGGCCATCAATCTAATTTTCTTGTCTCGGGGTATCTCTGCATAAGATTTATTATATATCTTTATCAATCTCACTCTTTTCCTTTCGATTTTAAGGTAAATTGCGTGAGTAAATGGAGGACTGTCAGTTTGACCAACATCTAGCAAAGTGTTTCAGGCGGGGTTTCGTTTGGACTAAATTTGCTTTGTAGGTGTTCGTCTGCAGGGATTATACTTGCTTTAATACTTTCATGATTTTTACCACTTTAAGGACAAACCACGAGATTTGCTTATTGAATTCAGGGCTACATTATTTCTACCATGAATGATATTCCAAGAATTTAGTATAACGTGCTTAGTGCAGTACTTTGTTAATGAACTTTGCAACTCTACGGACCCATCATGCCACATTTCACTTACTCTTTCTTCTTTTTGGTGTACCGGATAAGATATACAAAATACTTATGTGTACAGTATTCATAGATATTACGTCCGTATACACTGTTATGCATTATCTGAAGTGGATACAGTTTTTTTTATTAAAAAAAGGTCCACAAAACAAAGAAGAGGGATGGTAAGAAAGAGAGAGAGAGAAAGAGAGAGAGAAGAAAGTATAAGTCTATTACCGCAGATAACATAACTAAACGCGCAAATATCTTAGTTCATTTAATTGCAAACGGAGATAAAACCCGAATCAGTATCAATTTATTTGTTTATTATAAAGCTATCAACTAGTGCATCGTCTTAAAGCACCTTTATTTCTTATTTGTTAATTATAGAATATGTAGCTTGTGCATTGCTATTACTGAAATGCACTCTTTTCCTTCGCATATTTTATATAAAGGTAGCGTTTCCTCATTAACATAACTAGAATAAAGTAAGGTCGGAATAAGGAAGCAATGTTTTTGCGATTCGTTAGGAAGGGAAGAGCATACACATAAAGCATCCTTTGGTTAACTTGAATACTAAGCAGCGACTTGTGTGCTCAGTAGATCAGTGGTACAGATGGCCGAATGCTGCTCTTGTGTTCGGGAGTTCGAGTCTATCTGGTGCTGCGAGGGATTGGGGCCAAGACCTTGAATAGGACTCCGACTATTCCTCGCACACAGAGGGAGATTGCAGGGATAAAATCTGTAGGTCGAGGCGACGCGTCATTCGATGTCAGTCTAATGCAGTTTTTATTAGTCTTTTTGTTCATATGGCCATCAATTTAATTTTCTTGTCTCGAGGTATTTCTGCATAAGATTTATTATATATCTTTATCAATCTCACTCTTTTCCTTTCGATTTTAAAGTAAACTGCGTGAGTAAATGGAGGACTGTCAGTTTGACCAACATCTAGCAAAGTGTTTCAGGCGGGGTTTCGTTTTGACTAAATTTGCTTTGTAGGTGTTCGTCTGCAGGGATTATACTTGCTATAATACTCTCATGTTTTTTACCACTTTAAGGACATACCACGAGATTTGCTTATTCAATTCAGGGCTACATTATTTCTACCATGAATAATATTCCAAGAATTTAGCATAATGTGCTCAGTGCAGTACTTTGTTCATGAACTTTACAACTCTACGGACCCATCATGCCACATTTCACTTACTCTTTCTTCTTCTTGGTGTACCGGATAAGATATATAAAATACTTATGTGTACAATATTCATAGATATTACGTCCGTATACATGTCCGTATACACTGTTATGTATTATCTGAAGTGGATACAGTTTTTTTTTTATTAAAAAAAGATCAAAACAAAGAAAGAGAGAGAGAGAGAGAGAGAGAGAGAAAGACTGAGAGAGAGAAAGACCGAGAGAGGAGAGAAAGAGAGAGAGAGAGAGAGAGAGAGAGAGAGAGAGAGAGAGAGAGAGAGAGAGAGAGAGAGAGAGAGAGAGAGAGAGAGAGAGAGGGAGAGAAGAGAGGATGGGGAGATGGGAAAAGAGAGATATCATTTGCAATGATAGCTCAGCTGTATAAGTCTATTACCGCAGATAACATAACTAAACGCGCAAATATCTTAGAGAGAGAGGGAGAGATAGAGAAGAGAGGATGGGGAGATGGGAAAAGAGAAATATCATTTGCAATGATAGCTCAGCTGTATAAGTCTATTACCGCAGATAACATAACTAAACGCGCAAATATCTTAAATATTGCTTAAAGACTCTCATGTTTTTTACCACTTTAAGGACAAACCATGAGATTTGCTTATTGAATTCAGGGCTACATTATTTCTACCATGAATGATATTCCAAGAATTTAGCATAATGTGCTTAGTGCAGTACTTTGTTCATGAATTTTACAACTCTACGGACCCATCATGCCACATTTCACTTACTCTTTCTTCTTTTTGGTGTACCGGATAAGATATATAAAATACTTATGTGTACAATATTCATAGATATTACGGTCGTATACATGTCCGTATACACTGTCATGTATTATCTGAAGTTTTTTATTAAAAAAAAGATCCACAAAACAAAGAAAGACCAATTATAAAAATAAAAAAATGCCTTGAGCCCTCAGTGGTATTAAGAGTCCCGCTGAGGTGGCGGTAAAAGGCAGATGTTGACTCATGGATATTCATGGCTCAGCTAAACAGTCCACATCAAGGGCTAGAAACGTAGGCAACCGTGGAATTCCTCGTCTTCTGTTTCGAATCTGAGGGACATCAGCATCTGTGGACTGATGCTATAAGAATAACTCGGTGAGAGTGACGCTCGATGAGAGAGTCGTAGAATAAGGGTTGACTACACGTTGTTTGTTTATTATTTGTTTTCTTTTTATCTATTTGCGATTGGGTGTGTCGCGTCGGTGAAATATACGTACACACAAACATACGTTATATTTAGTGAGTGAGTGAAAGAATGTGTGAGTGAGTGAATGAGGGAGTGAATGATACAGGAGAGGGAAAAGAAGAATATATAGCGAGAGAGAAAGGCACCAGCTTTTTCCATTTGACAGTTAAAGTCTCATTTAGAGCAAACGTCGCTTGTTCGTCTGGAATTTGTTACACACAAGGACCATATTTTGCTTTCCGGATATTTCCAAATTTCTTTCTTCATTACAGAGATAGAAGTATAGATAGACTGAATCATAAATACATACATACACAGGTACATCGATAGATCGTTTGTCTGGTAGGTAGATAGGAAGTTAGATTGATTAATTGTTGAACATATTGACTGCTTAATGGATAGACAGATATGTAAATATAGATATATAATCACTTTCTGCTCAAAAGATGCTACTTTTTGGTCGTCCAAATCCCTTCTGATCTAATTGTTAATACTGCTACTACTACGGTTATATGATAAGATTCAGTGATTGTAATCATGAAAGTGATTTTAAGGATAGCAATATTGGTTAAATAGCAATAATGTAAAGGCAGTTTACATTTAGCATAAAGACAATTACAATAGTAATGAGAATAATGATGATGATAATCATACTGCCAATAATAGCAGCAGTGATTATAGTAATAGTGAATAAAGATGATGCTGATGATGAAAACTATTGGTGTAATAATAGTAATAATAATAGTAACAAAAAGAAGAATGAGAACAACAACAATAAAGATCATAATAATTATAGTAGTTGCAGTACCTGTAGTTATGATGAAAACAGACATGCAATAACAACAACAAAAATAATAAAGATATATTATCAATAAAAGAAATACTGCTAAAGAGAATGGTTACGTAAATTCCAACAACAACTTTAATATATTTATAATAAACAGCAGCTCAGACATTGTGATAAAGGTGATGACTATAACGATGACGCTTAACGATGAAAAAGAGCTATCAAAATGCAAAGCTTCGGGAATTGAAAATTTCAAAAAGTGGAGGTTGGAAAATCGCGGAATTACTTTGTGTCCGCGGGGTTATACCGAGGAGAAATTCCAGGTTGGATGGAAGTTTCCGAATTGCCGAGAAGGAATGTAGGGATCATGATACTGATATCATAGTAGCAATGATTTTGATGATAATCATAATGATAATGTTGATAATTATCATACTGATAATATTGATAATTATCATAATGATAATATTGATAATTATCATACTGATAATATTGATAATTATCATAATGATAATATT